AGTCTACGGGAAAGAAAATATAAATGGTTCTTAAACGTATGAAAAGAGGCCAAGGAGATGGCTCAGTAGAATAAGCGCTTGCCTGGCAAGCACAAGGGCCTGAGTTCAATCCCTGGTTCTGCAAAAAAAAAAAAAAAAAAAAAAAAAAACAATGTATGAAAAGTTGCTGAACTTCATTTGTCACAAGAGAAAGGCAGAGGAGAACCACCCTGAGATACCATGTGCCTACTCTGGGCACATCTGTCTGCTGACACTATCCTACAGGGACTGGGGACTGGGGCGGCAGGAAAAGGCACACCTAGCATGTGAATTGGGGTATAAATCACTATGACTACACAAAGGGCAGTGTGACCATCTATGCAAACGTTCTGAAGGATGCTGACCTCCAGTCTGTGCTTCCCTGCAGCACTGTTTATAAAAGCAACAGACTAGGAACAACATGACTGTGCATCCACAGGGGAGTAGTGCAATAACGTACAATAACTCCAAATAGCACAAGGCATGCAGTAAAAAAAAAAAAAATCACTTTCTGTGTACCAGAGGACCACCTGGGCAATTGTGTCCATTTTGGCTGAACTTGACCCTATTCCCATGTACAGAGCTGACTAGGACTTTTCAATGGGCCTTAAGCAATGCATATCGGTCCAGCCGAGGTGCTGAGGGTAGTCTCTGAAGATGACACCCTGGAACCTTCACCTACTGCTCCCTAGTGTGAGCCAAGATGAGATGAAGAGCCAGTGCTCCAAGCTGCTGGCTGGGATGGAACCTGAGACAGAGGCTATGATTTCCTGGGGCCTAAAAGATGACACATCAGAGCTAAAGGACCCCAAAACATTAGGCACTGTCTCAGTTGCACAATGCAGATTAGTCTCTGCATACCCTTCTCTCTGCATATCACCGAGGTGAGTGCAGGCCTCCTACCTGGCCCAGCCCACAGCGCTCACCTACTTCTGGCCATTCTCACACTCACTCTTCCTCAAGCCACTCCCTTCCTCATGAATGAATAAAACCTGGATCAGGCCTTGGGTCGAGGCCTTTGTCTCAGAGAGCGGTCATCATGGCTGGATTTAGGACCCCTTGGATCTCCAAAACTATAGATATGCCTCAGTGTCTTTATGCTCACCATGATTTGCACTGAGTGTGGTAGATCGGCATTAACTTGAGGGAATTCCAATAGTTTATCCATGGAGCTGGGGAGATAGCTCAGAGGCGTAAGCACCTACCTGGCAAGCGTAAGGTCCTGAGTTCAATCCCCAGCCCCAAGTGCTGTGCTAGCCCCAGAACCCAGCATGTTGGTGTTCACTGTAATCCCAGCACTCAGGAGGTTGAGATAGGAGGATCATGTGAGATCGAGACCAGCCTGGGGACTATAAAAGTAAGTACAAGGCCGGCCTGAATTGCATAGCATGACCCCATCTCAAAAAAAAAAAAAAAAAAAATTATCCAGGATTTACAAATATAAACTTAAACTTCCTGGACTGAGACAAAGATCAGCAAGGGCTCTCCATACTCAAACAGAGAGTTTATAGTACATCAAGTAAAAAAATCAAGAACAATGTATATAAAAGTTACAGTCTCTGCTTAAAAAATTAAAAAAGAGGAAATGGTTGGATTTGCACATACAAACGAGAATCTCTAAAAGAAAAAGTTAGAAATGAGTAATAGAAGCCAAGTATAGTGGTATGCACCTATAATCTCAGCACTCTAGCAGACTAAAGCAGGACAGCAAATTTAATCCCAGCATGGACAATTTAACAAAATCCTTTCTCAATTAAAAAAAAAAAA